CCCCACTTTATATTAAGTGGCCTTAACTACTATGTACTTACATCAAAAATTAAGTACAATGTACTTATTGTGTTCATATTGTATTGCAAAACACTTTTGCTGCTATTGAGGTGGGATACGGGTAAGGTTAGGGACAGGTTTGGTGGTATGGATAGGTTTAAGGGTGGGTTAAGGGGTAAGGGATGGGTCAACTGTGTAATAATAAATGTAATTACAGAAATTAATTACAGATGTAATTATATACAGGTATTTTTAAAATATAAGTACAATGTAAAAACATGTATGTACACAATAAATGCATTGTATCAAATGATTAATTTAAATGTAAGTACATAGTTGTTAAGGCCACCTAATATAAAGTGGTTTCTATTGATAAAGCAGTAAGACATTCAATGTTCTACCCAGTGTAAATCTCACCATGTCTCATGAGGCGTATTGCTTTGATAAAAGCCACAATTATTAAATGTTTACACACACACACACACATCATTTTATAATGTTTATATCTAGTGTATAGTATAATTTTGTTTATATCTCATTATTGTTTATATCTCTTTTATTTATATTATACATAATGAACATAAATTACTAAATACTATACATAGTTTATATAATGAGAATACCATATATATATATATACACACACAGTTGTGCTCATAAGTTTACATACCCCTTGCAGAATGTGCAAAATGTTAAGAATTGAAACAAAATAAGAGGGATCATGAAAATTGCATGTTATTTTTTATTTAGTACTGTCCTGAATAAGCTATTTTACATAATAGATGTTTATATAGTCTCCACAAGACAAAATAATAACTGAATTTATCAAAATGATCCCATTCAAAAGTTTGAATCTTAATACTATGTGTCATTTCCTGGATGATTCACGATATTTTTTCACGTTTTTTTCACGTTTTTATATTTTGTGATAGTTATTCATGAGTCCCTTGTTGGTCCTGAGCAGTTCAACTGCCTGCTGTTCTTCGGAAAAATTCCCCAGCTCCTGCACATTCTATGGTTTTGAACCCTTTCCAACAGTGATTGTATGATTTTGAGATCCATATTTTCACACTGAGGACAACTGAGGGACTCATACACAAGTATTACAAAAGGTGAAAACATTTACTGATGCTCAAGAAGGCAACACAATGCATTAAGAGCCTTTTGAACAGGATGATGATGATGTGTAAATTCTTCTCATTTTGTTTAACGATCATATTCTTTCATTTAGTACTGGACTTCAGAAGCTCCATAAATACTTACATGTTTCCTAGAAGACAAAATAAGTACAATTTACCCTGATCATCCAATTAAAAAAATGTACACCCCCCGTCTCTTAATGCATTGTGTGGCCTTCTTGAGCATCAGTACGTTTTCACCTTTTGTAATAGTTATGTATGAGTCACTCAATTGTCCTCAGTGTTAAACGATGGATCTCAAAATCATACAGTCAATGTTGGAAAGGGTTCAAATATGCAGAAGATGCTGGAAGACCAAAGAATGTGCAGGAGCGGGAGGATTTTTCTGAAGAACAGCAGGCAGTTGAACTGCTCAGGACCAACAAGGGACTCATGAACAACTTGTTATATACTTGGCATATTAATATAGAATGTTAGTTCACTGGCATTTTGCTGCCAATGCCTGGACACTTCAAATACGACTTTTTAGAGTCATAACCAACCATTTTAGTTCTGTATTTTACACTGGAAAAATCTTTCAGATCCTACTAAACAAAGCATACTGCACAGCAACAGTTTTTGGAGTAAACAGACACATAAGAAATACATATCAAAGCAAGCAGTACGTATGTGTCTTACCCATCCAGACCTCTCCAAACTGGCCTGCTCCCAGACGTCTGTCCAGTTTGAGGGACTCACGTGGGATCTCCCAAGCATCTTTCTCCCAAGGTTTCTGAGGTTTGGGACTCAGACAGGGAATAGTGAGAGATTGGCACAACCCATCGCTCTGCTCTGTAGATGCAAATTTATACAGTTTGTTAATTGTAAACCAGCTGAGTAAACAATCCTTCATGAAAAAGGTTGGTATATTATCCAGTGAAATGTGTCCAGATATTTGCATTTGTGTATTGTACTTACTCTTGTAGTGGCTGACCAGATCCTGCAGGGTGTTGAAGGTGATCCGTGGAGAAATATAGAAACCGCCATTATCCAGCGTGCGGATCTTATAATGCTTCACAGCGTCTCCTGTTTGGTCGCAGTCTCTGACAGACAGAGAGTAGCTTCCTGAGGGGGGAGATACAGATGATTTTAAGGGCAGATAAGGATCTGGTAGATGTGTAGCTGAAGTAAAAATGTTACCACTATAAGAAAACAACACTGCTAATGCTTCAGTATTACACTCCTTGCCTAAAATCCTTCAGCTTTAACACTGTGCTAAACGTACCCTTGGTGGTTTCACTGTCTCTGATCATAAAAGATCCTATTTTGTTTCCAGATGCCAGCAGCTGTCTCTCTGCATCCTTTCTGCTGACACCTTTAAAAAACCACCTGTAGACATATACATAAATAGATGAAAATTATATTAAAAAACCATAAACGTTCAAAAGTTTATTGTGCACAGCAAGGCTGTTTATTTGATCAAAAATGCAGTAAAATTGTGAAATATTATTACAATTTAAAATAACTGTTTTCTATTTTAATATATTTTAAAATGTAATTTATTTTTGTGTTGCAAAGCTGAGCCATTACTTCAGTGTCACATGATCCTTCAGAAATCATTCTAACATGCCAATTTGGTGAATATTATCAAGGTTGAAAACAGCTGAATATTTTTGTGGAAACTAAAACTTCTCTTTTTTCAGAATTCTTTAAAGTTCAAAAGAACAGCATTTATTTGAAATATTTTGTAACATTGTAACTCTTTACTGTCACTTTTGATCAATTGAACGTGTCTTTGTTAAATAAAAGTATCAGTTTCATTTGAATAGTGTACACACACACACACACACACACACACACACAATATTTATATGATATGATATGATATGATATGATATGATATTATTATTTTAAACAATCTTATTATTATATGTGACCCTGGAGCACAAAACTAGTCATAACGGGCCAATTTTTTGAAATAGAGATTTATACATCATATGAAAACTGAATAAATAAGCTTTTCATTGATGTATGGTTTGTTAGGAAAGGACAATATTTGGCCGAGATACAACTATTTGAAAATCTGGAATCTGAGTGTGCAAAAAAATCAAAATATTGAGAAAATCGCCTTTAAAGTTGTCCAAATGAAGTTCTGAGCAATGCATATTATTTATCGAAAATTAAGTTTTTATATATTTGTGGTAGGATATTTACAAAATATCTTCATGGAACATGATCTTTACTTAATATCCTAATGATTTTTGGCATAAAAAATCGATAATTTTGATCCATACAATGATGTATTGTTGGCTATTGCTACAAATATACCTGTGCTACTTATGACTGGTTTTGTGGTCCAGGATCACATATTATAAACAACCTTTACTGTGAGATCAATGGCACCACTACAAATGTACACACACTATATTTACTCACTCTTCAGTTTCCAGAGTATCCTTGGCAACATAGTTACTGGGGATGAAGCCCTCCTGACCAGTGCTAAGAGATGCTGCTTTCCACCATTCACCTGACCTAAACACACCAATCAGCCAATCAATCATTCAATCGGTCAAAGAAGTGAGATACTGCATGTTAAATCCTCATTCAGAATGACAGGTTTACTTACTCCTGAAGGATTTTGAGTCTGTCTCCTTTCTTGAAGCCCAGGTCACCTTCATGCATAGCTTCATAGTCATACAGAGCTATGGTAATGTTCTCTGAAGCTAAAGGCAAATGGAATCTTTAGTGTGAAAGAGCTGTGATCACACATTCACTATGGTTCTGAGTAAGAAACAGACTGGTGTCACACAACAGTGTTTATAACAACACTTGCTGTGAGTTTAGCACGATTCCAACAGGGTACAACGGTTTTAAAGTGTGCATACTTTTTATACAGCGATTAAGGTTGAGAATTAATATCAGGCGTATGCACTGCCAGTGCTGCAGCACACACTGAGGTTGAATGAAATGCATGTGGAAAACAGTGTACTATCTGCACTAAACCTCAAAACAAGCTACTTTTTCATGTATACGACACATTGAATACCACATCCCTGAATGTTTTTTACTCTTGCTCACGAGGTCAACCATATGAGTTGAAATGTGTATTTTGTTAAGTATTTCAATATTTTACAAAACTCTAACATTCTGAACGAGACATCCTACCTATTTACTAGAAATCAAAGACAATTTCACTTACTATCTGACCCAGGAGCTGGGTTGGAGGTGGTTCTGTTCTGTAGATGGTAGAAGAGGTGCAGTATTTAAAACAGCAAACTAGACATTTCAGTTCTCTTTTCTGAGCACAAAAACAGACCTGTCTGAGGCAGTCTTTCAAATAGAGGATATCTGTTTAAATAAATAAACATTTCAAGCTCTTTTTAAGGTCGTTATGTAAATCAGGTAGCAGCAGCTAGAAGCACAAACACAGAGCGGTGTTGATACTGTTAACTAAAACGATTAAAAATTATGTTTTCAGTAATTGGAATAAAGCTGAAATGAAATAAAACATTGTATTAGATGAAGAACTTAAAAATGAGAAATGTTCAATTAAATGTTAAATTAAGTAAATCTAAAGAGAAGTATTAAAATAATAATAATAATAATAATAATAATAATAACATTTAAAAATAACCAAAACCTGGACAAAAATAAAATGTGACCCTGGACCACAAAACCAGTCTTAAGTCACTTGGGTATATTTTTAGCAATAGCCAAAAAAACATTGTATGGGTCAAAATGATAAAGTTTTCTTTTATGCCAAAAATCATTAGGATATTAAGTAAAGATGATGTTCCATGAAGATATTTTGTAAATTTCCTACAGTAAATATATCAAAACTTAATTTTTGATTAGCAATATGCATTGCTAAGAACTTAATTTGGACAAATTTAAAGGCGATTTTCTCAATATTTAGATTTTTTTTGCACTGTCAGATTCCAGATTTTCAGATAGCTGTATCTCTGCCAAATATTGCCCTATCCTAACAAACCATCCATCAATGGAAAGCTTATTTATTCAGCTTTCAGATGATTTATAAATCTCAATTTCAAAAAATTTACCCTTATGACTGGTTTTGTGGTCCATGGGTCACAAATGTAAAAATACAAGTTAATTCAAAATACTATATATAATATTTTATTAATACATGCAAAGTCAAGATGATCATACAGCTGAGACTACTCTGTCTCTCAGACTCTAAGAAAGTGGAAGTACAGTATTTGAAGTCACAAAATGTGCTGAAACAGCCAATTCTGATGGTTTAGCGCAACTCAGCACTTTTCAGTAAGGAATAACCCTGAAAAGATGTCTTGTCAATTTAATCGGAAATTCCAAAATGCTTCTACTTACAGCTTTGGAGCCTGCCGTTGGGTCTTTGGTGTAATGTGCTGTCTGGTTGCGATTGTCATCGCTGCCCATTGATTTGCCAATAGGATCCTGCTCCGGTTTGGTCCCCACACAGCCCATGTTGAGGCCTGAAGCGTTAACAACAGAAGACACTAATGCAGGTTGTCCTTGTACGTTCAAAAAACATTTCCAGTATAGCAAATATGCAAAACATGGGTTGTTCCGAGTTCCCACTAAACAACGCTTATTTTTGATGCTCGAAAAGCATGTATGGAACAAATTATGATGGAAAAATGCCTGTAATGTGCCATATATGACTCAAATTGTATTAAATGCCACGTTTTCGGCCTACTGTACAACAAGATGAACCTAAGATGATACTTCTGATTAGTATTTCCAATATTATGAGTCAGACATGATTTCCTAAAATCATTGTAAGCCTGTGTAGATTGTAGAGACCCTTGGTGCCATTGGTTGCTACAATCGGTGTATGACTCTTTTGGGAAACGTAACCTTGACCGATAAATGTAGTGAAAGTCAAAATAACCGGTTTCTCATACTGGCTTCCATGTTGTAGGCTGAAGTTATCTCTCGCCTGTGGTTTTGTCATTAACTCGCTCACACATGCACATGAGGAAGCTGCTCAGTGGAAACTGTGGTTGGTTAAGGCCTAATGTTCAAAGCTGATTCAAATCAGCTAGCCTTAACACCCTAACACTTTTCTGAGAACGTAGCAGAAATTAATCAACCAAAACGTAAAGAACTGCCTCCCATCAAAAATAGATTCCAACTTGGTCGATTGTTGGAAGAAAAAAAGTGACTTTTTCCTCACTTTTGAACGAGAGGTGAGCGGAAAGCGCATGTTTTTGAGCTCTTCGGCCTCTCTGTGGCTATCGCCTAAGAATAAATGAACTTCAACTTGCACCTCTTGTCATGAGAGTGCAGTGTGCTGTTATGGTGCAGGTTTATGTTTCATTTCATGCTTGATAATTAACTTATTCACTCTTAATCTGGACGTGCATGACCCTACACAAAACCACAACCAAAACACCAAATTACATATCAGTGGTCAGTCTGTTTGTTCGGAAGATAACCAGGATAAAGAAGTAAATTGTAGAAATGTCATTAAAGAGAGTCTAATCAGCTGAACACTGAATCGTAATTTAAGAACTGCTAAAGTTGCGTCCTTCAGTAGATGCAATGGGTTTGAGAAATATGTGGCGCATTAAAAACTTGTTTCCTATAGCTTGTTCACCCATGTTCTGCTTTCTCTTTATTTGAAGTTGTTTCTTGTGTGTTGCTTTTGATTTCGAATGCTTTTTTTAGTCTCACTGGCTTATCAGGTCCGTTGTGAAAAACAAGTGCATTGAATTTGATTAAATGTACACTTGTAGTATACTTCAAATCTTCAAAGTATATTTTAAATAAACTGTGCTTGAAAATAATATAATATTACTGCAATAAAGGCTATTGAAGAGAGAGTACACTTCTATGACAATGCTTCCTTTAAAAAGTGCACTCTGTAATAACGTCAAATTCTTAACATCATTAATGTTAAATGTTAATGTTTTACTTTAAAGTCTGAATAAATACACTAGCATAGTAAAGCACTTAATTTATAGTTTTTTTTCATAAATGCTTGACAGTACTTCAACCAAAATTCAAAGACAATAGAATTATGAACTTACATACAGTATAAAGATTTAAGTCCTATTCATGTGGTTCAAAAAAGTTGAATCGCTTGCAAATAACATGCTGATGTCCGTAAACATAACTTGACATTTTGTCCAGCATTTTTATTTTATTTTATTATTTACATAATAAGTACTCTAATGAAAGGTATACTAAAGTAGTTCTTTTCACAGGGGAGTTGATGTTCAGGTACACTCTAAAAAATGCTTGGTTAAATATAACCCAGCGCTGGGTTAAAAAGGGTCAAACCCAGCTATTGGGTTGTTTTGACCCAGTGGTTGGGTTGACCCAGTGGTTGGGAGTTGAACCCAACCGCTGGGTCAAAACAACCCAATAGCTGGGTTTGTCCCTTTTTAACCCAGCATTTTTTAGAGTGTAGTCTCCTCTCAACCTGCTTAATTGCTGTCTTGATCACAGGTACATTTCCTTCTTCCGAATCCGATAACTGATCATACCCGGAGGAAATTTTCAGATTTGCCTTTCGACAGTGCCACCCATCCCATCCCATCCCACCCAAAGATTATTTTGTCCCTCAAAGCCACAGAGCTGAGAGGAACCACCTCCACCTTTCCCACAGGAGCGCAGGGAGACTCAGAACTGCAGCTCTTTTCATTTAACCACATATGCAAATGTGGGATGTGTCAGTTCCACCTTCCTTGTCAGGACTCTCTCAGTGTTATGTTTTCTCTCCCAGAAACATACTGTATGTGCAAACTGTCAGATAACACCACAGCTGACTGACTTCAGCAGGCCAACAGCCAATAGAGAAACGTGAAATATTACTGTAAAGAGTGTTTTTGAGTGTCCTTTTACATGAGGAGATGGATCCTCTGAGGAGGAAGAGAAATATTTAAATGTGTCCTCTGATATTGTTCTGTTCTGTAAAACTATAGTGAACTATGGAAGTATCAGTTTAACTAAAGCTAAAGCATGATATTATTTCAAAGAAACGTGCGGGTTCCTCAAAACACAAGACTGCGTTAAAAAATCAAACATGTAACCTATTGGATTTGACACAGTGTGTCATGCTTTAGAAATGAATCCAAATAAACAATCCAGTAAAAGAATAAACAGCTAGGCCTAAATCGTGTGATGAAATATGGGTCTGATGAAGTAGATCTTTTTTCCCATCATTATTATTAGGCTATTAATTAATCGAGAAGAGACCGGATTCTATAGAGAAACGACAAAAACAGGTCGGAAATCTATAAAAAGTAGCTTATGACAAAAACTTTGAGTAGACATATTAAATTAATTTTAAATGCTAATATTAGGGCTACTGTTTAATTTAGGTGAATATGAAACCTCGTTTAAAAAAACGAACATCGAAAATCAGCTTTAGGGTCTGAATCGACTTAAAGTCCTAATCGTTTAATTACAAAAAAACAACAAAAAAACAACAACAACAATGATATAAAATAGAAATTACGAAACATAAAAACCTAACTAGATAAAAAACACTAAGAAGGTATGTAAAAAAAAATTTATTTTAAGCGAACTTACCACTTAAATTGCAATCCAGAAGAAAGGTATATTTCTTTATTCACAAAATCTCGCTAGTTAACCGAGATGTTAAAGCCGCCTCACACCGACTCCTCCATCACACTGATACGCTTCTGTGTCAGAGTGAGACTGTCGCGCTGTACTGTCCAAGAGGAAGTTAGGGGCCGTGTTTAAAAAACTACTGAGATGCCTTCCTAGGCAACCGTTTAGAACACCAGGCGCGCTCCGAGTCAGCTCAGCTCATACATACACACTGAACCCATCCGATTCATAACGAGCTGATAATAAAAAAATAAAACAAATCAAGCTCTAATAAAGCTTAAAATGCTGTCTAGGTAGGGAGCTCAGTGAGCATTGAGACACGCTGTAGTCAGAGGAAATCGGTCATAAATATTCCGCTTCAATATCCGCATGCCCTATTCACGTAATAGCCTAGTCTTCGTATAACACTGTGAAACCAGGGTATTTTGTGTGAAGGTTGCAAAAAAAGCTGTTTAAAACCTTTTTGCAACGTCACTTCACTTCTGAGAGAAAAAAAAAACCTTCAGTCAAAGTATCATTCAAATTTTGACAAATAATAAGAGCGATTTCAAATATAAGTGATGATAAAGTTAAAATAAAAGGGAAAATGTAACAAAAAAAAAGAATAACAAAGGCAGATTTAGACAAGATTTGCTTGAGAACAGATTAGAAGAGCGAGCTGAGTGTATCCATAGTGCACAATCACAGACAGAAACACAGATGTATTATTGAATTGGAAATAGACAAACAAACAGTTGGTCTGGCCTCACAGTTACATAAAGACAGAATAATCCCCTATCAAATGGTGAGATTAAACACCCTCTTCTTTTGAAAGAGACAGAGAAAAAGAAACATAATAAACAAGCATATATATAAATCTACCTCTTCTTTAATAAATACTAAGCCAAAACAACTTCATTCTCAATATGCAAATACTTATAAGAGAGAAAAGAAATCGGACACCTAGGAATATTAAACAAAACATATAAGTGCATGGATCAAATAAAACATTCAAATTACAAAACAGAAAGTCAGATGTGATATGTTGATGCAAGGGTTTTTATTAAGATTTCTACCTTTGTACTTGAAACTCATACACCTTTGTTCAGTATACAAAAGTAAGCAAGTTAAGTGTTGTGGTGATCGGCATATTCAAGTGAAAATTCTGAATTGTTCCAATGACTCAAAGTACAGTTCTTCACGGTGAAAATGATTTACCCTCTTCCTGCAACAATGCAGGTGTTTCCCACATCCTAAACCATTACAGGTGATAGTTCACAAAGTATAACCACAGCCATCAGTTTATGCAATGGTCCTATAATTGTATTTAATTCGATAGACGTTAGTTGAGGAACTAACGTATCAGAGTAACTTTAGTATTAGATAATCTCCAAATTATCTCTAACTATCTAAAAATAGTGCAAAGGAAAGGTTTACAGCTAGTTTGAAACAATGGTACAGAAAGTTAAAAAAAGTATACTTTTTTCTTCACAGTTTTACCCTTCCTCCTTTTGCAGCTTTTACAGCTGCAAGTGGAAAATTCACTATTACAAAATATATGCTTGACATCTCAAAAAAACCAAAAGGGGAAGCCGAGGGTTTTTCATTTTGTCACATCTACAAGAAGCAGGCTGTAGTACTCAGACAGAGACAAAAATAGATGAGATGGCAACACCTTTTACATGGAAGAGAGAATGAACATAAACTGAGAACTGACATGACAATGTTCACGACACACGACAGCAAGCAATTATATGTACTCATGTTATACAGTATGTGCTTATTAATAACTTGTGGAAAGAGGAAGAAGAAAGTGAAACCGAGGAAATAAAAATATATCTAGCTGATAAGTTTATTAAGAAGCCCCCTTGTCAGTAAAAACAGCTGGCTTCCTGTTATTGTACAGCTAACGATTGCTGGGAAATTGACTCAGTGAAGTAACAAATTCATCCAGCACAAATTTACCCATGTACAGTATGAACGATATAGCTGCACATGCTACTAATAGATCTTATTTAATTCCAGTCTGGACTGCATTATGTATTCTGTTTGATACATGAGAATTATGTTGACAGAGGTGTACTAAAGCTAAAGTGAACACCAGAGATTCGAACTTGGAAACTGGCGGCGAAGGGTGAAAGCAAAAATGGGTGTCTGCATAACCACAGCAACTAGATCATAGCTGAATCCATTGCCTGTATATAAAAAAAATAAATATATGAAGAAAAGCATTTGTGAAAATACTATGCAAAGCCAATTAACATAAAACAAACACATTTTTAAACAAATGAGACCTTCATCCTTGCTCTGAGTCTACATGGTTTCCTTGAGGTCCCCTGCTCAGACGAATTTTCTTCTCCTTTAGTGAGCGCTGGGAAAAAGCTAAGGCAAAACAATAAAAGTGACATTTTAGGAGATGCTAAATGTATTAGTTGAATCAGCTTTAAATAAAAAAATAAAAAAAATAAATGATTAAAATATGATCTCTTACCATCAGTATCCTGCCCAAATCTTTTTCTGCTCGTTTCAAGGTTATTGTTCTCTTTCTCCTCTTGCTCCATTGGTCTGCTGCCATGATCGGACAACTTCACCACCAGCCACAACAAAGCAGAAGTTAGAACTGATCTCATAAAGCTGTTTGAAATTTAATGACATAACATAAATTCAGTGCTAAGATTACCTGTACTCCTGATTTAAGTGTCTCCATAACCACAACTGCAAGGCAAAACAGTCCAATTCAACTTAGCACAATCCAAATAAACCTAAACCAACCAACAAGAGTGAAGCTTTACCTGGTTGCAGGGAAATGGTTAGCGGTGGGACTTTCTTCTTCTCTGAGCTGACAGACATTTCAGCTGCTGGAGATGTTTCACCTTCCTTTACCTCTTCCTGTTCCTTACATGTTTCCTGTGCTTCCTCCTGCTGTGTAATGTGAATCAAACATCACAGGCAATTTTATTTGCATACTCGTAAATACAAATATGTACAGAGTTTGTTGCTAAAACATGAATTCATTAGGTCATTTTAGGTCAGTCGTAGGCATGTTGTGCTAATTTGTTCCTTTGTTTTATTTAAATTGTGGCCGCAACTTAACTATGTTAAAAGAAGGAACGAAACAGTACACTGTGGCCTTGATTTAACAAAACCACAATAACTATTTTTTTCTATATGCCCAGGTCTTCGTAAACAGGAACAATGCAAACACAAAGAAACATTAGTCTGAGCCCACATGAAAAAATACTATAGTAATTTACTAGTAAAATACTATAGTGAACCATACTATAGTAAAGTACTTGAATTAATTTGTTGTGGCAGTACTATAGATGATGAGGTGATATATAAAAACTATAGTAATATAAACAAATTACTTTACCCAATACTGTACAAAGTTTTCTACAACTATAGGGTATATTATACTACAATACACTACAGTTCACTGTAGTAAAAACTAAAGTATACTACAGTATTTATTACAGTTTACCAGTTCACAGTATGCTGTAGCATTCATTAACAAAGTGTTGTAAATACTATAATATTTACAGTATAATACACTTTACTATAGTATGGTTCAAAAACTATAGTATTTACTATAAATTACTATAGTATTTTTTTCATGTGGGAGTGTGCAACAGTTATACAGTATACAAAACAAAGTCAAAGCAGAACCTTTTCCATGTCAAAGAGCAAGGAATGCTATTCGTGCAATATCCTGAATGCTTGATCAAAACTGCATTATCTTGTATTAGCTCATTTTAAAAGAAAAGCTTTTCTTTTTTTGCTACACTGGTAGCCTGCTTTATTGAAAGCAAACTAAAGAAAGGGAAAAGTTTAATTTGTTGGGTTATTGTAGTCTAGCCGAGTATTTCTTAACCAAGCTAGCATTAAGCTAAGCTAGCAGCTAGCTAAGCAGTTAGCTCGCAAAGTGAAAACTAACTGAAACTGTTAAGAAAACGGAAATGTTTAACTTGACTATTTTTAGCTTTGGAAATATACTATGATATGCAGTTTATAAGTATAATTAACATATTTTCATGATAGTCATTTTAACATGATTTTCTGTTCAAGCATTAACAGCATACACTCATTAAATACTGTCTCAAACATTTATCTCAAGCTCTTTATTGAGGAGATATTTCTGCATCATTTGAAGTCTACCTGTGTATTATTGTCTGCTGTCTGCTGGTCACTTTGAGGGCTTGATGGGTATTGAGATGACGATGAAAGTGTAGCAGGTGGTGAGGAAGATGAAGACGAAGATACATCGCTCTGTGAGTGTGTTTTCTCTTTGCTTTTTGAACGGCCTGACTCAGACAGGTCTAACGGTGCTTCCTCTTCATCCTCTCTCAGTTTCTCTCCAAAAATCCTCTCTGTCTGCGTTGCTGAGACCTTCCACTGGGGCGGCACTGTAACGGCTTCTGTCACTCTCTTTTCTCTACTCTCTGCATGCTCTGACAGGTTTCTGCGGGACCAGGGCCGCAGACTGCTAGGTGTTGGGTCATGTGTGCGAGACTGGTGGCCACTGCTTGGTGGGACCAGTTTAGGGAAACGCAGTATGTTTGAGCTGGGAATTGGGTTCTGGCTTGGGTGAACTGCTATCCCGCTACCAACACCAGAGCCGCCCGCTGCTACAGTTACCCAGTCAGTAGATTCTGAGAGCGACCACGGGATAGACAGGCGGCCGGTCTTGATCGGAAGTGGCCGGAAGGGGACGGGGACGTGGATTTGTTGCCGGCTGCTACGTTCCTCAGAGGCAACAGAAGAAAAAATAGGATTGTTCTTCAGTAGACTAAGAGGAGATGGAAGAGAAGGAGACAAAGGGGAATGTCTGTGCTCAACCGAGTCAACACTGGAAGATCTGTGGATGTATGAGGAGAATAATTAAGATGTGTCACCGTAAAGGAGACATATTATGCCCCTTTTTACAATATGTAATATAAGTCTCAGGTGTCCCCAGAATGTGTTTGTGATGTTCAAGCTCAAAATACCCCACAGATCATTTATTATATAATTTCCACTCAAATGCCTATTTTGAGTGGAAGCAGAAACACGCTGTTTTTGTGCATGTCTCTTTAAATGCAAATGAGCTGATGCTCCCTGCCCCTTTTTTCAGAATAGGGCTGTGTCTTTACAGCTCCTAACTCAAATGCTCTGCTAAAAACATCTGTTTGGTTTTGATTATCATGTATATCGCACTGAAACCATATTAGTTTAAACTTCTGATATACGGTTTTCTGAGCGCACACATCCGAAGCACAAACAAATGGCTGTGTCACCTTCTTTCAGCACAGTGGTCTGTGCCCCATCTTGAGATGGGCAACATGGGCTTATTCGACTCCTGAAAGAGAGAAACACAAATTTCAGCAAACAATGAAACACAAAAGAATAGAAAGAACAAGATTTACTATAAAACAACCATTTTTAAAAGAGCAAAAACAAATTATAGCTTACAAATGAAAATGCCCTGGCCCAGTTTTGCATAAGTTTGTGTTCAGAAGCTTTTTCTGTACAGGATAAAGAACATTAAAAATCTTCTCATCAGATGTGAACAAGCTAAGATATATTGAGTATATTCAGTGAAAAACACAGCGTCTTCACGGCATGGCGTAACAATACTACAGCGAGAATAAAAGTTACGCTTTCTTTCTTTGCGTGAACATTTGGGGGCTTTATGCAAATCTTCCCACATAGTGAGGTAGGTATGTGGGGGCGTGTTCGAACGAGCCGTTTTAGGTAGGTGTGGCTAACTCTTAACTTTTATAAAGAATATCTCTTTGGATTTGAGACTTTAGTCTTTGCAACTTTACAGATCTTCTTTATGCACCAAGAGCTTGTAACACTCTAAAGAGAAAGGAAAAAATGAAATCGCATCATATGACCCCTTTAATCTAAAGTATTATCAGAATAAAACAGCACTGGTTCTCATATATGTCAGAAATGTCTGCCGTGACGGTAACTTACCCAGGATGTCAGTTGGCCTGTTGTCCGTCTCATGTTTGACAGTCGCTGCAGGTACAGTGGTGTCCCCTGGTGGAGGCTGGCTGGACTTCAGCCCTGAGGCCAGTAAAGTCACAGCAGCCACTGCTGTGTCAGGTGATACCTTGACCTCTGGGGTGATTGTGTCCTCTGAATGACCATTCTGCCGACTGAAAGGTGAAGCAAGGAGTTATTACGCATGTCTATTATATACAATACATTGTACTAGTCTGTTAAACGGGCCCTGACCACAAGTGACCAACATCGGGCGAAAGATATTTGATCAAACTTTGGTGCCGACCACAGTATGTTGGCTAGTGCTGCATGGTTACAGGTAGAGTAAATCAGATCGTGCCACTATGTGACAGGATCAGAACTTGCAAATGAGAAACAACAGGAAATACTTGCACAAATATGGCAAGGAAGTATGTTGAGCAAATTGGCCACTCACTTTGATGGATCCCTCAAGCCCTTCAGCTCCTCTCTCAGTCTGTCGTTTTCTTTCTTTAGTGCATTCATCTCACTCACTGCAGCAGTAAACAAGAATATCACTAATATTCATTATATTTCTTTGTGACCTCTACGAAAGAAATTAATACTTTTGATCAATTTAATGGATCCTTGCTGAATAAAAGTAAATAAAAAACATAACATTTTAAAATAGATAAGTTATTTCAAACAGTACCATTTTACTGTATGCTTTAAATGCTTTACACAGCACTTGTGTAAAGCCTGATTAATGATATCTCAAAAGAAATCTTTTTGTGACTTTTTGCATAAAACAAATCAACATGGTCAATGCCACAACATTTCTTCTTCATATAAAGGCTCTATTTATAGCTCACCCAGTAGAGAGATGTGCTGCAGACTCTGGAGCTGGGAGTTTTCATACTCCTGTTGCCTTTTTTTAGCCACATCCTGAGTGACTGTACACCTGTCACACAACCCGGCTCGCAACCTGAGGATCGACAGACACATCCAGTGTGGGCAGTGGTGCGTGAAACTTTGTTTACTTTATTTTTATACCAGTTTTACAAATGAGGACGTCCCCAAAGGGAGGTTTTTGGAGCTTTTGTCAGGTTTAGCTCACTTTTGGGTACAAATTTGTCCCCAAAATATGGTTAAGTAGGTACACACACACACACACACCTGTTCTCCAGCTGTTTGATGTTCTCAGTAAGAATCCGCTGCTGTTCTTTCATCTGCTGGTTCCTGTTGTAAAGTTCTTCTATGCGCTTTGCATCGCTACAACAGAATGCACATAAACCATTATTGAGGTAGATGTCAATTATGATGTCAGTCATGTTTTTAGCTTGAAAAATATGGCATTCACACTCACATATTCTTTTTATTTGTCAGCTCCAGCACTTTCTCTTGCCATCCTGTAGAAAGAGAGAAAAACACATTGTGAATCTGGACAACTGGAGTGTGAAGCATGGCACATAATGAAAGAAGTGGCAGCTGTTATGAGTTAACTTAAAGAAAAAGTTAATCCAAAAATAAAAATTTGCTGTTGCACTCAGCTGATAAAAGCATCACAATAATCCACAAGTAATTCATACAATTCCAGTGAAGTGGAGAGCTGCATGTTTGTAATAAACAAATTCATAGTTAAGACGTTTTAACTTTAAACTGTCGCTTTCGGACAAGATACAAGTTTGTTTAGAAGTGTTTTCTTAATGATAGATTTGTTTATTACAAACATGCAATTTATTACTTCAGAAGTTTGATTGACTGGATTACTGTGATGTTTTTATCAGCTGTTTGGACTCTCATTCTGACGGCACCCATTCACTGCAGAGGATCCATTGGTGAGCAAGTGATAAACCGTTACATTTCTCCAAATCTGTTCTAATGAAGAAACTAACTCATCTACATCTTGGAATGCCTAACGTTGAGTAAATTTTCAGCTAAATGTAATTTTTTGGTCAACTATTCCTTCAAATATCATGTTCAGGCTTATTTTTGCTGACATTTTTGGGTGCTTTATGAAGCGTTAATGTGAGTAACAATGTAATGCCATTGTGTTGAATTCACCCCACCTTTATTCATTAAACTATCGCCTTTTGTGTTCAGAAAGAAAGACATAAAAGAAAAAAAAGGAAGTCAAAAAGGCTTGGAATGACATGATGGCGAATAAACAATGTCAGATTTATACTCAAAATGTTGCTAATTTAAGTTTGTGAGCTCATAGCATTGTTTTATTGTTTTGCTGATTTTATTTTCAGCTGTTGTTGTTAAGGTGCATTCACATTAGCAAGATTTCGCAGGCAAAAAAGTCACATGAAAGTCACTTTCAAACCAAGTAGCTTTCTGTTTGTCAATGCGGGAAAATTCATGTGACCGACTTAACCAAGAGAAAAATCTGCATGGGGAATTTTTTTTGCCTTCGATCAAAACTCCTGATCATGCAGATTCCTAATTGAAATGACTGGATTTCATCTGAGAAATTTTGCTGAGCAACAGTAAATGTGACCAATAGTTATCTATTTTTTTGGTTATGTAAAGATGTTTTTACAGTTCATCGTCATTGGTTTGAGAAGTTGCCTATTGGCAAAATCAAAAAAAAAAAAGATGGCTGGTCTTACCCTCTAACTCATGTTCATGCACTTCCCGCAGTTTCTGCAGGAGTTCAGGAAAGCTTTCCACAGCCATGCTGGTGTTCCTGCACACCTGCCTCTTCACTCGTCTTCCTACGAATAAGGATAAGAAGGAATAATAAAGGAAAACATGAAAAAATAAAGATTTGTTATATCAATGCATGATTAGGTTACAACGGCTGCCAGTTCATGTTTTGCTGTTGCCCTGGCCTAACCTGCTAAAATATGAGTTTAAATTTCTACACTCACATATACCAAGACTATTAAAACCTGGTCTTGCCAAACTGGTTCTGCAAGATGTGCACCGCAGGCCTAACTTTATTTGTGTATGCATGTATGACTGTGTGTAGAAGAGAGAGTGAGAGAGTAAGAAATAAGGAGAGACGGAATCACCACAACATGTGTGTTTGTGCTAGCATCTAAAAACAAACAGGATAAGGAAGTTTATTTATAACCCTTGTAATGCGCAGACAACTTATAAATGGGTTTCAATTTGACACATACGACATTGACATCTAAATAGCACAACGTTTAGCTTATCTTCCCTGACTTGTGCTATCTACAAATGTCCATAAATCTCCTTTGCCTCATAAATGACTGCCTCAAAAATCTTTGAAACTAAATTCCTGATGATCTCCATGGTTGATGTAAAGGCCTAGACACAATGACCAATGTTTAAATGACTGAAATGCACTGAAATGTGAATATATATTTCATATATACATTACCGTTCAAAAGTTTAGGGTCAGTATGACTTTATTTTTTTAAGAAATGTATACTTTTATTCAGCAAAGACCCATTAAATTGATCAAAAGTGACATCAAATCAGTATATCAGAATGATTTCTGAAGGATCATGTGACACTGAAGACTGGAGTAATGATGCTGAAAATTCAGCTTTGCATCACAGAAATAAATTACATTTTAAAATAGATTAAAATAGAAAACAGTTCTTTTAAACTGTAATAATATTTCACAATAATACTGTTTTTACTGTATTTCTGACCAAATAAATGTAGCCTTGGTGAGCATAAGAGACTTAAAAAAAAAAAAACATAAAAAATATCTCATGACCCCAAACTTTTGTACAGTAGAGAGCATAACTTCTCTTAAAACTGATGGGACACAAACACACTTTCTAGTAAAACGGGGTTTTTAATTTCAATGCAAAGTGGGAACTGTGCATAGAAACATCTGAATACATTATAATGACTCATTATATTTTTTAACCCCATCTGCATGACTTCTGCCTGCAAAGATACAGCAAGTCGCTGAGGGCTCTTGGGAGGGTGTGGTTACCCCCCGCCCCCTTCCCCCATACAATCTTTTTTGCATTTTGATCCGAGTGATTTTCGCCTGCTCCTTCACTCTCTCTGCATGTCGGGATACGTTAGATAACAGTTTTGAACGTTACAGCAGCGGGAGCAAGAGGGAACCTGTCTCTCAGAACTGCAAACTTCACTTTTCACACACATCTACACACAAACACACACACACACAAATTAATGTTTTAAACCCACTCCTTTGAGCTGACTTTGCAAAAATGATTACTAACAATTTAGAATATACCTGTACAGATTTACCATACAAACAGGTGTTATCATATCTGACCTCTGACTCTCAGTGCCCTTGACATTTGGGGTCAGAGGTCATTCACGGTGTCACTAAATAAGTGGGAGATTATATATAATGCATACTGTAATTGATCTAAAACATACTAAATCAGTCAGTTAAGTCAACAGGAAGGACAAGTGGAGTCTTTGAACAGGCCTGGGGCATATTATTATTATTAAAATACATGAGAAAGTATGCTTCTGAGATGGATTGGTGGATCAGGTCTGACATTACGCAATCAGTTCCTTGCCGCAGCACACAAACACCAGTTCTCCCCTGGATAAACCGGTCCTGCTGAAATCCCACTAAACCTGCCCGACCACAAAGAAAAAAAATCCTCAGAAGGATATAGAGAACCTTTAGACACACAAAGCCGCTTTATTCTGCTTTGATTTGCTCTTTTAATCTAAAAAACTAAAGATGCATTTATTCAACTTTGTTGCAGTAACATGGGAAGATTTTTATTAGCATTTATTTACAACATACATACGGTGAGGGAAATCTGTCTTTTTAAACCCTCATATTTCGTGATAATAATCATCATACTAAATGATCTGTATGAAAGTCATATGTCACTCTGCAAAAACCAAGCCATCAAATTGACAATCTTGAAGCAGCATTGGAGGTTCCTCTGATCACCACACCTGCAGAACACCTGAGAACCTCCTAATGAGGTGACTCCTGTCCTACTGTGCACCCATAGGTAAATGATCCATGGTTTTACTATAGTAACGACTGTAAAAACAATGATACTTGGTGTAAAAGCAAAACAACCACACATTTAACTATGGTTTTACTACAGTAATCATGGTTAATATATGGTACTTGTACTAAAAACAAGGTCAAACTGAAAACCTTGGCTAATTTGTGGAATGTGAACCATAGTTTCTGTCAAAACCCTGTTTTACTACAGTAAAACCATTGTTGTGTTTTGTAAAGGTACTCAAGTCAATAGTCAATATATATATTGGGATATCTACCAGTAGACACGATTAACCGGTAGAAATTTGAGATTTTCGACTATCGTCTCTATCGTGGTTACACGTTCATGTGACGTTGCTGTCATTCGCAAGTTTTAAAGCATTGCCGTTTAAAAACAAGCTATTTTAAGCTGTTGAAATGCAAACAGCAATGAAAGAGAACTCATTTTGCTATATACATGTGCTGTCTGAGAGACGGTTTCTAAACGCTGTCAGAGAGGCTTGCACGTGAAGACAGAGCTCATAGAGCGTGGGAGTATTGAGTAATTTTTGCCATTTTATAAGCCTTGAACGGTTAAATATGCACACTTGTATGTGTCAGAATGCTCATCTTTGCAAGTATCCTCATAAACACAGTAATTTGAAAGGCCAGCAAACAGCTGAGAAAGAAAACACGTGTAACAGTATATTGGATCCAGGCAGCTCTTAAAGTGACAGCAGTCTAATATTCCTGCTGTCTGTCATTCATGTTAATCGAACAACAAAAGAGAGAAAATCTCTCACTCATCTTGACTAAATCACTTTTGTAAGTATATATCTATAACTATAACTATGTAACTATATGCAACTACATATCATTTTGTAAATATATATTTAATTTACACTGAAGAATGTTTTTATATATTTGATTACTTTATGCAGTGTATGTAGGATCTCTTATTTATTGCTTCTAATTAGTTTCTTATTCTTATATAATCACTTACTGTTTACTTTTCTTCAGTGAGCTTGAGTTTTTGTTTTTTTTAATTTAGGGTAGCAGGGACGTGCACAGATATTTTGAGGGGCAGGGGCTCAAGTGGGAAAAAGGACACTTCTCATATTTATTTTAATTTTTTTCTAAACAAAACGTTAAATATATTAGGGGTGTGCGATATTGACAAAACATATATCTCAATATTTTCTGAGATTTTATCGATAACGATAATTAGATGATATTTTGCTGAGTGTGTTATTGTGCTGATATCTTAAGGACTACCGTGGACAGCTGACTCCTAAAGTTTTTGATATTCTGCATATTCTGTGTGGTAATCAGTTCACAGCAGTGATAGAAATTAATCTTTTCCAATAAAAGTAAATAGATTTTTTTACCTTTTATGGGCATTTTTACCTTTATAAAGACTTTTGTTTTAAGTGTGCATCATCTTTTCAAATGAAAAGAATCAGTTAAATTGAATCAGTCAATTAGAATAATAAGTCAGTTGGGCTGTTACCAAGCAATTGAAATCAGTACTGACAAAATTAATATTTGTAATGCAGAGGAAACACAGAAGCTGCATCTGAAGTGGCATTTAGATGCATTTAGTTGCATTGTAACAATTTACAGTTACAAATGCATTATACTGTTTTGATATTTTAAACATAAAACATTGAATACTGATATTTAAAATAATAAAAAAAAAAAAATGAAAAGAAACTTTAAATGTAAAATGTAAACTGCCAGTAGGTGGCAGCAAGTCACTGTTAATAAGTGAGTCATTGCGATTGAACCGAATCATTTAAACGGTTGATTCATTCAGGAACCAAACAACATCATGTTGCTCAGAGCCGCAAATTGGAATTATATATGTTGGCGAAATAGAGCAAAAACAGTCAATATTGTGTCTAAAACGTAAGTGTCTTAATATTAAATTCTTGTTTATTGAACTGCTGTATAAAATCAGTATCACATTTGTAATCATGCTGCTTTTTGGTGGAAAAATGTCAGTCTTAGTGTGATACTGATTAACTAACACTGAGGGATCTCAGTTGTAATTAATGTCAGACTGTACGACAGTCAAGACGCGTTAAAAACGGGTGCGTGCAAGAAAACTTGTCTGGAGTTCTACATTATCAACCCATACACGTTCAGCGACTGCGAGCTGCATTGCACGCGGGGCTGTAATGTTGGCTATCATTAAAAGTATAAGGAGTTTACGCGGTTAGAAGAAATCTCTAGCATAATTTTCCCCACCAAGACAAACACAACTGGAAAGGGAGGGAGGGCTTCACTTCTGCGGCTCTCTGCATGTCTGTGATGTGATGTGCCGATCAATGAGTGCTACTGCTGTGCTGCGCGGAGACGCGGAGGGGTGAAAGGCATCGGAACTCGACAGAGTCTCAACATTTCCCGACCTGACCTGATTTTTAGATTTTTTATTTGTTTGACAGGGAAAGCTGTGCGCAAACAGAAACACGCATATATACATATATTCATTTATAAAAAAAATAATAATAAATAAACTCCCCAGAAAAAAGGGCACTTTCTCCCGAGGAAGAAAAAGGGCAGGTGCTCAAGCCCCCTTTTATGTCTATGTGTGCACGTGCCTGTAGGGTAGTATTACTTTTTTGTGATATTGAAACTGGTGGCAAGAATTATGGCATTTATATGGTATCAAACATTTTTCAAGGCCTTATTTAAACATTAAATTTAAATAAAAAAATTTTTTAAGGCCCTAAGCAAAAATAACTATATTGTGATATATATTGTTACCGTGAAATAAAATCACTCATATTGT